TTTATCACATTAACAACTTACAGATATTAAATGAACAGTAAATTACTTTAGTTTATAATATTTATTTCGAAAAATACGTCCCACCAGTCAAGCCTGCGCAATTAACTTTTGGTTACTTCAAAAGCAGTAAAAAGGTAATCGTTTATAAGAACCGAAAGGTTATCAAAGTGTACACAGAGCTATTAAACACGCGATACTTGAAGTTGAACCTTTTTGTCCGTAGGACCCCACATTGTTTCACCTTTCGCGTCAACTGTCCGCTGATACTATATGTCGTCAGCAGAAGTTATTTTGCGAAGGTTGGGTATTTTACATTGGCGCCGGGAATAAAACTCCACTTGCCAGTAAGTGCTTCATGACAGTGGATTTAAACGAATGAGAATTGCTTTAAATAGGCATACAATGTACGTTAGTAAGCTCACACTATCGGACAGAGACTGAAGTGTCCCATAAGAAAGTTATGAGACTATAAGGCCCTGAGCACACGCATCTTATCGCCTCCGTAGTAGCAAAGTCGAAAGGCACTCCAGAGCCAAAAGTTATGAGGCATATCAGACATCTGAGAAGCACACATAAAAAAATTCCAAGCCCAAACTATGCGTCTACGTTAAAAAAGAAAAATGTAGTTTTCGAAATGCGAGGTCGTTACTCACACTAACTAACTGAGCAGCTAAGTTACAAATAAAAAAGATATAAATCGAATTAATCTTGTTTGTGAAGGACGTTCGACTAAGATCTCCAATATAACTGGTGTTCCTAGCAAATAACTAATCATCATATGTTTGTGGCTTTATTGAGATTTATGACTCAGTCAAAATTATCTGGACATTTTTCCGTTTTTTACCGTTCGCCAGCTTCTTACAGTTCAACGTAGTCGGTGCTCTTGAGAGTTGCTGCTACCTCGCATTTCCTGGTCTTAGGACTCCGCCTTGGAGCTATTTCCTCAATTGGTCTAATCAGGCCTGTTCAGTGAGAGCTATAGAGCATAAACAATGACAAGCAGCACAGAACTAGCTCTGATCAAGAAAAAAACTAATTTTCGATTGTCTACAGCTTAATGAGAAGCTAGCGTTCTAATTATCTAAATTACTATATCGATTCTAGTAGGCATTTGCCCTTCTATGGGGGTACGGTTGAATTCAAACATACTATACCACTAAATCTAAATAACATCTTGACCTATTACATACGTGTTTATGTGAGAAAAATCTACTGTCTTGATTTAGAATAACCAAACGAGCCATTGTTATTGAGCCATTCTACTTAATTTCTTCGGATATGGTTCACATAAATAAAAATAAAGTGTTTGCAGGATTTCATTTTGGAGAATTGACGAATGTTCATTTCATATCAATAGTCCCAACTCGTCCATATAATATTTATGAGAATTTCTCAGAAAAGGTCCTATGAATATATGAGTAAAAAATAGAGAAGATAATTTGATTGCGTAACTATAAATTAGCGCCCGACGACCTATCGAAGTCTATGGGTTCAGCAGCCTGTAGCCCGTTAACAATACAATACATGGAACGTGGCGAAATGAGGTGGGACATCGCAATGGCAGGAAAATAGTTACATATTATTTTCTATTTAAATCTGTGTTATTATACTCTTTCTCGTTTCATTCGATTTTCGTTCAATCGCTTATCCTTCGTATTCTGTTGTACAGAAATTTATTGACCTTGAGGTGAGGTATACGAAGGGCAAACATCTGTGTGAAAAAAAAAGTGCAAGTTTTACTTACGGTTTTATAGAGAAGACAGTCTGAAAGATCCTCGGTGGTATTAATTTGCGCTATCACTTAAAGAGCGTTGTCAGAAAGCTGAAATAGATACCGCCAGCTTTGATGCACCGACAAGAACACTATTGTGTCTGATCAGTGTGTAGATCAGATGCGTAGATCCAACTTGCATGCATAATTCTTGCGTGATTTCATAATCGCGTGGAACCTTCTATTTTTTTTTCTAGTTATTTTTTTTACTATTTTTCATAGGATAGCTTCAAAATCGTCGATTACTTCCAGGACGAATTTCCGACATGGGCTAGAAACTTAATTTTTCAGGTTAATCAGTCCACATGCTTGGCCTAACAAAATGTTTCGCCATCCCTTCAGGTCTAATAGAGGGTCCTCTTTTGGGTCACAGGCTCGTTTATTGCTACCAGTAATCAATGAAAGCTCCCTTAGCACATATTTGTTCTTCTTCGCTTCGCCTATTTTGGTCCGATCTTTAACACATTGTGTTGCAGCAAGACATTTGTATACATAATAATTGTTTGAGAGGCAAGAGTCGATTTTAAGGCCATCTTGCAAATGACCATTTTAGAATGCCATCACGCTTATATATCTGCAGTTAAACTCTAATTTCAACCGGTCAGTCAACCGGGTCTGCACTACACCGAATTTGCCCCGCAAAGTTTAAGTCAGATATTTCCGGATCCTAAGTAAGTTTCCATGGCTGTTCTCAAGGCCATCTTGCTGACAACGTACACCTGTACCTATCTAAGCGTGGATTTATGTAGGCACTGGCTGAGTATTTGTGTGCGCATTTCGCCTGAATAGTTTAACGGCTTTGTAATACGATTGTCTTTCCCGCAAGTCTCCCGCCAACACTCATTTCACAGGTACATTTCGGTAGATTGGTACGATGTTCCCTTTGTCAACCTGGGATGGTTTCAACCGCTTGGTGATTGATTACACTGCTATTTCTATCCTTTATTTTTAATTATAAATGATTTCTTTTTTCATATTAACTTGATACTTGTGCCACTAGGTTACGGTTTTTTTTTTTTTCTAAATAAGTACGTGCTTTTGTGAAAAGGCAGCACGAATGGCAACGCTCTGGTCTGGGATTTGATCCCGGAACCTCTTAGCAGGAAAGCAAGCACCACGCACATACTTACACTAATGGTCCTTCCTTCCACACGCGATTACTTATCATTATACATCCGCGCGTAATTTTTGAAAAACTATTTCGCGCAACGATGATTTGTTTAAAGGACTTGGTCATCAAATGTTGCTTAATATTGACGTAGCATCTATGTAAGGGAACCATTATGCCTCCTGTACTGCTATACAGCATTGCTCTGCACATGTTTTAGGAGAATTGGCCTAATTTAGTAGTTCTCGTATCATTATGTCTAATCGAGGTCGGTATTTTCTTGAAGCTCTGCTGGGGTATGATCGTTGTGCTTTTCGTTGCTACTACATAAACTGTGTACATAGTAAGCGAAAAATACTGCAGGTACCAGTGCATTAGATGCAGGAAAGATAGATAAAAAAAAAATTTAGTTTTACACACACACACATCGTAAGGAATCTTGTGATGTAACGGTCTTCGCCACCCTCCAAACGGGCTGAAGTCTTTAAGTGCAAGCTATTGGCAGTTTTGAGACTTCAGTCCACCGGAAGTGCAATCAACAGCAATCGCTATTCATTTATATATATATAGATATAATTGAATTCATCGGTCATCTTTCCAAAACACGATACGTGCATCGTCTGCAGCCCCTAAATAAATCAATACGCTTATTTTTGTCATAGCGTTTTTGCTTTACGTGCCAAGACTTGCGTAATGATAACGATCTTCCAATACTGAGAAATTATCTAGTACAAAACACGGAAATCATATACGGCAACCCGACTAGGAAGGCACTGACGAGCTAATAGGATACAATATGATCAAACTATGTCAAAAGTCAGAACAGTCTAACCGGTGTTAAAATGAATTACTTGAACTTTATTTCCAAACTCTTCTGATCCGTCTGAGATTTTATACACATATTGAAATTCTTTACGAGCACGAAAAGGGAATACTTGCTGGCATATTCGTGGGATTGCTATTGTCAGATCCTTCGATCGACGTTGAAGTCATCTCTATTGGAGTACATTTACTAATTTAGATTTAATAATCACAGCGCTGTTGTACGTTCAAGTTAAGTAACGAAGTGAGGCGATGATTTAGCGCTTAAATATAATTCCTAATTATATCAGAAACTGCTTTGTACATAGCCTCCTTGTTATGCGTATGTATCTATCGTTGGTACATGATATACGGACATATGGTATGAAGCATATAAGCACACTTTGTCTGCTATGTATATGTATATATAGGTACCTTTGAGTCGTCCTTTGAGAGGTACCTTTGAGTGAGCGTACTACCTAAGCGCAGCAGGTTTTACACTATAATAACATCAATGTGATAATGCCAAAAATGAGAAATTTATTACAGCCTTGCAGGGTTGTAGGTGTGCCGACTTTTTCGTGGATACAGTCGGTCTGTAAGTCCAGAGATGCGCTGTTTGTTCCTTGTGTATCGCTATTCCATAATAGAACGACCAGCTGGGTCGAGGTAGAAATAAAGGCGTTTTAAAGAACGGTACCTCTGATTGGCCCCGCAACTAAATTTTTGACAACACACACTGGGATAGTCCCATCATTGTAATCGATAGCAAGCACATTTCCCATAGCTACCTCAATCAGGGTACATAGAACATTCGGCATTGAGCCATTGATTGCTGCCACCGGAACCAACGACTCGTTGTGATGGAAACCGTTCAACTTGAAGGAGGTAAACAATAGACTTGAATTTGTGTGATACAGGCGCACAGTATTACCTTACCTTGAACGAAAGTTACAAGTGGCCTTATTCAAATTATACGATTCTATCCCTTTCGAAATGGGTCGCCTTACATTCGCACGCCACTTCTTTCTCCAGAGAGGCCAAAATACCTAATTTTAACTAAAACGTGCTCGTCCTATATCTGTACGTGTCATATATACTTTGGGGAGTTTGAATCGCATAGCGATCTTTAGCGTCTTGCGTTATATATTCGTGTTCAAATGCACGCGCCTCTCTCGACAAGCTGCGTGTATAGGCAACAAAATTACCGTCAAATAGCGAACCTCTATAGACCTTTCGTACAACTAAAAGTCGAGCTTTGTACGCCTACTCATTGTCTGTGCTGTATGATATGTTACAACGTATAATAACAATGGTTATTCACGTATTAAGCACATGTTTGAGGTAGTTTATGTAGCAAATGGCCAAGCGAAGGATTTCGATTTTTGAGAGTTTCTTATCGGGTGGTAACGTTGGTAGCAGAGCTCGAAGTCTGGCGAAGGCAAGATTAAACGCTTCGACACGAATTCGCTCACGGGTCGCATGGGCAAGACGATACTTCTGAGTTGCTCTGCGTCGTCGGCGTTTGTCATCGCGCGCTGACGAAGTTCGTCGCGTTGAATTCGTGATTCGAGTCGTAGAACTGACCGCGCACTGAAGAGCACCTACTGAGTCTATGGAGACCGTAACCATGCTGGACGCAGTACCGTTTTCCACGTACATGTTGCGCAGGCAGAATGTCAGCTGCTTTTATTATTATCGAGACGAGCCTAACTGAGACAAATAGGAACGAAACAAATGTTAGGAAAAGACTAAACTACAACCTAACATTATTTCCTACAATACATATATCTCTGATTCGATATGGACACCAGTATAATTTTCTGAATGTTTTCGATCGCTTGGTATAGGAGAAATCCGACTACAGGTCTGCCAGCGTTCACTTGTCTACTAAATGCACATTCAAAAGCGACGTTCCTCGCGTTGTTCTTTGTTCTAATTCACTTTTGCCTTATGTTATTATGGTGCTTCTTTAAATTATATTGTTTTATCAGAATCTCAGACGCCATGCCACTTGATCACTTGTACGCCTTGGATTCGCGCTGCGTTAAACCAACGCCGGAGTCTGTGGCCTCGAGCAGAAGGGAAATGATTGCACAAGCATATCACGGCTTGCTTGCTTCGTTCCGGGCTCGTTGCCGCTCAGTGTTATTCTTTCTATGAGCTCGTCCTGGTTAAGATGAATGATCCTGAGCCACCTGTTTAGCAGGACGAAGCGCCTACATGAAGGCTTCTCTTAAAACAACCGAAAGCGTAAGACCACAGCTGGGTTGCTTGAAGTGAAGTCATTTATACGGAGAGCGTACCTCTGTTGAGGGTGCATTTCTTCCTCTTTTGAACGGTACGCAAGATCAATTGCAGTCTAAACATTGTCAGTGACTAGAGGAGTTAGATCGTTTAAGCCATTTTCAAAATCCCACCAGCCACTCACTGTCGTTCTCTGGTCCCGCCTTGATATGCTTCTGCCGTGTTCGGAGAGCCTGCCTAACCCCAATGCAGACTAATGAAGAAGACGCCAGCGCTCCTGTTTCTATATGGCCGGCCCATATGCACAGTGTGAGGCTCAGGATGTAATGCCTTCTCGGGATGACACCATAATCCAGGACTAGCTTGGATGCAAAGCATCTTCAAATGGGTCTTGTCTCCTGAGGTACCTCGGATCGGACTTCGGCCACGACGGGGATGGCCACCACCAGTTGTGTCATCAATGAGCCATATTTCTGACCAAAGGGCTCGCAGGGCTTAGACACCTGGCCGAGTTCATGGCGTAAGCTATCGCTGGCCTTAAGTGATTCAACATCTCTGTGTCGTGCAGACTTCGATCGAAACAGCCTTAGATAGAGACTTAATTCGGGTCGCGGGCCCTACAGCTATTGAATAGCCTGGGCGAAAGCCACTGTTTTGTTCGAAGTTTGATACTAATCTCAAGGAAGCTTTGGATAGGAAAACGATCCCAAGGCAACTGCGATTGCTAGATATCCGATTTGATCCTTTACAATGATTTTTAGGTGGTAATACTCGCAGAATACTTGCTATTGCAATATTGTACTGAATTATATTGAGTTATTTCGAAACATTTAGAAAAAAAAAACTAACTTTACCGTAGAATCGAAAATAAACGCGCGAACGTTTACGCTTGTGCCAATTACCTAAACCAGTGACGCGGATGTCGGTCAAATTCTAGAAAATAACAAATAGTTACTAGCTAATAGTTCCGCGGCTCCGTACTTACGTTCACCTGAGCAGCACCCGATACGTGAAGTACGCAGTATCCCGCTAGAATTGTATGCCTTCAATAAGCTTATTTACATTCATTTATTTATGGGAAAAAAAGATACGTGTTCTATTTAAAGCACACCATTTCGCGGTTAATAGAAGAAAGAAAAACAAATATAAAATAGTTATAATCATATTACTCACAAGTTTACGAACATCACATTGTTTTTCGGCATTAAAAACTGGCCAATGCAAACAATCACCAAGTTGATATAATCATCGTATCGAACAATAGAACTTCTGGTAAGACGACGTTGCTGTCGCTATTCGATCATTCTCACAACTCGATAAGAAACGTTCACCCTATTGTTGGCCTGAATCGGCAGGCAATAACAAGCCTCATCAGTTCTTGAAACAGCCTTGTTGCAGGCTCAGGCCTCTCGATGCGCACTCGTCCAAAGACAGGCATCGTTTTCCGCCTCACGGCAATGTTGGTCCTTGTGTGGATATGCACCTACTCAGACACTGGGTTAGGGCAAAGCCATTCCCAGGATCAATACAACGTCAGGACACTGTACAGGTCATATTAGGGGTTCGGTGGAGATTCGATTAACTAAATCTCGTTCATTTGCTTACCTTCTATCTCGTCGCATGGTGGTCTAGCAAGGGGTGAGCTATCAATGCAAGTCGACGTGCGGCAACTTGTAAAGCCTGTCTTGCAGAAAATGCCTGCGGCGTAGTTTAAGCAAAAGGCTCTCAATTGGTTGATGTCGGCGGCCCGTTCGGATACGATCTGCGTGTGATTTGCGCGATCTCCTGGGAGTCGAACTACTCTAACAGTCATGTATAGCATACATACAGGCTCACAATCCTGGCTATGCTCGTTCACAAGTATGAAAAAGGCTTCCGAGTAGAAAGTTAGTGCTATTCCTTTCGAGTCGGTCAAGTGACCCATGAAATTAGTTATTCTGTCCCACAATCAAACACGGCCATTCAGTGAAACCATCAAATGAATTCTATCCTAATTGCGAGACATTTCCGATACCTTGCATTTTATGTATAGAACGAATAATATTTCGGACTTGCGTCACCCTTTACCGTTTGCCTTTGAACAATGTACATTGTTAAGCAAAAACCAGCTCATCATTGGCTACTCTATACAACGCAAGTACAGCACCAAGGTAGGCTTTGTTTCGAAAAAAAAACGACGATATTTTGAAGTGTGCAAAGCACACTGATACTGTTTCATTCTATTCCTGATCTATGCAGGCAGTTTTATTTTTTCAGTCATAGAAAGTGTCTCCACCTTATACTTGTTTCATTGGCATTCAACTGTACGTTAGGCTCCAGTATGTTTACTCGTTGTGCAACCTCCCATTTAGCCAACGAACTTTAAGCATACGCCTAAACCTGCTAAATGTCCTCCCCTTTGCCTCGGGAAACACTTCGGATTGATAATCACAAAGGAGAAACTTTAATTATAAACGTTTTTCTGCCTATAGACTTTCGTTGCTTTGACCTCTGCAGCGTTTTAACCTTTTAAGACATTTCACTTCAAGGGCGTTTAATTCAGTTGATCAAAAGCTAGATTACCGGCCGCTGCGTCAGCTTTTTGTACTTTCATTCAGGTTTCCTGCGAAATAAGGCTTTCCTCAAACTGGCCTTGGGGGTTTCAGGCGTCATCATCACCCGCTATTTTTCGAATCCTAACTTAGCACCGCATCAAGTTTGAGTTGAGTTAAGTGTGAAACCTGCCGCCCACTTACACATGCTACAAATTCGAATAGTGTGTTTCACCCGACGATTCTCGTAGCGCGACCCACGAATCGACCACAGCTGAGCTAAGTTTCTTGCAGGCTTTTACCTATTCATCCGTTGCCATTGCCACTATCGGATGATTGACAACGCTTTAATGGAGAATTGGATTCAGTCCGACTAGACCGCTGCCCATATGTGTGGCGTAACACTCAGAAAACACCTATTTCCTTGGCACTTTCCCTTTGGCACTGGCAACCGCGATCGATTCTTTGACAATTATTCAAATCATTTGTTGCCACACCACCAAAATCAATAGAAACCTCTCCCTCCCCTGAGCAGCAGGGCTCGGTGGCGAACACCCACTTGGGTTTCTTTTCGAGAGGCATGTTATTTCAAGGGCCATCATATCTTTTCTTACTGATGAGGCAGATGAAGGTTGCGTTTCTTTTATCATTGCGGAAGCTGGTCCTGAATGATTAGCGCTGCTAATCTAGTTAGGGTTAAATGTATTCACCCTCAAAGACTACCTGTCAATTCCGCCTCGACGATGGGTAGTGAACACATTCTAGACAGAACACCTATAGAATGCTTCGAGCATCGTTAATTTGCCGGCTTGCAAATAGCTAAACTCGATGTAAATAAACCCAAACCCCTGAAAAATTGTGGTAAGTATTATTCCAGTTTTTAGTTCACGTGAAGCTTTCTCGACAGCATAGAGGAATGCAGAGACCGGGCGAGAGCCTGGCTGCATGCCCGAAAGTAAGTTCAAGTAATGTTAGTTCAGTTTCACATGATTAGGCTAAAGAGCATTTTAACTTATGTAGAAGTAGCTTCGTGCCGATTTAAGTGTTACGCATCACCATTGACACTTATCTGTGGTATAAATCCAAATACGTACAATATTACGTATAAGTTAAACCTACCTTTACCTGACATCCAAATTCGCAGGTGCAGTATTTTTCGCTGGTCGTGTGTTGTGTACCCTCATCCTTTTCTAATCTAAAAGCCGATAACAATCCAGTGAGCGATCTAATTGAAATTACCTAACCAACCTCTGTAACTTATTATATGTTCATTAATTATTATTATTATTATTATTATTTGTATAAATACAAGCTATATAGCTACTAAGCTATCCTAGTCATTTGTCGTTGATCGCAAACGGGGTTGGTAGGGGTTTGGCGCAAGTTGAGGCTACATCGACCGGCGATGCTAGCCAAGTTGTACTCTCCATCTCGCGCTCAGTCTCTTAGCATTGTACACTTCTGAAGATCCGATTAAGCACGCAACGAAGAAGATGAATTTTCAGGCGCTTTCCTTCCATTCAAACGCGCACGTGCTGGCCCAGGATCGTTTGCCGACATTCTAGGCGCTTCTTGATCTGGTGCAAGTGTAACACCAGTGTAGAGGTTCACTTGTAAGCGACTGCGTATGTAATCGCTTACAAGTAGATCAGCGACTAGACGCTTTTCGAGAGGCTACTGCTATCTCTTGGAGCAAGCGGGTTTTTGCCTATCTAGCTGGTTTGAGTGTCTGAACGGATCGGGCGCTGGGTGTTTCACCTGATGGAGTCCTAGCAGCAGGCCAAAGCTATCGACGACGTCTGCTTTTAGGCAACACAGGCCCTGGAACATTGGCATGGACTCTTCAGTTTGAATCCAACAGAAGCTGGGTTCTCGAAGACCTAT